GGATTTTTATTTTTGCTCTTACAGACACAAATACAAAGGCCATCTCTGTTAACTGGTTTTAATTCCAAATCCAAAGTCAAGAATCATAGAGTACCTGTAACATACTCATAACATGAAAAATGCGAAAATGATGAAGGTAGTCTACAGTTGGGATGCTTTTTCTTTAAGTTTTTAATGCACTATTATGCTAGAAATTTTTCGAATACTAATAAATTAAAGGAAGAAAGCAAAAAAGAGCCCATATCTTTCTGACTAGATAGCCTGTATTGAAATTCAAAAGAGTAAGTAAATAAAAGTTATAAATTCTATCGCGTCTGGGTGGCACAAGTGGTTTGCAATTAGCTGCTAACCAAAAGGTTGGTGGTTCAAACCCACCCAGGGGCTCCACGGAAGAATGTCCTGAGAAACAACTTCCATAAAGATTACTGCCAAGAAACAATCATGGGAGAAAGAGGGGCTGTGTACGTGCAGGCAGGCAGCTCAGGGGGCAGGAGTGCATGGAGGAATGGACACAGGAAAGAGGTAACTATTGGGAGGAAGTGGGAGGGCAGCTGTTGCATTGTGGGAAATTGTAGTCAATGTCATGAGACAAAGTGTATGTGAGCTGCTCTATGGAAAGTGAATTTGCTCTGTAAACTTTCACCCAAATCACAATTTAAAGAAAAAAAAATTACCACCAAGAAAACATTAGGGAGAGTTCTACTCTGTAACACGTAGGTTTGCCATGATTTAGATGCCAATTCCTCAACAGCTAACAACAACAATTCAAAAAAATGTATGGCGTTTGTTGTTGTTAGGTGCCAGTGAGTCAGCTCTGACTCATAGTGACCCTGTGTGCAACCAAACGAAACACTGCCCCCTCCTGCACCAACCTCACAATCATTGCTATATAAAAAAGTAAAAGGTTAGAAAATTGTGAATAGTTCAGAAAGATACCAAATGAAAAGTGAAGATTTCCAGCTAAACATCATCATCATCACTTTCTAATAATTTCATGAGGTGGGGATAGAATGTACGTTTGTATATACATCCACATACACAATCACGTGCATGCACACGCACACACGCACACACACATCTACCTGCATATGTGTTCTTTCACAAGTGATCATAAACTCATGGTGTTCCATACTTAGTTTTTGTTATTGTGTGTTTAACTTAATGACATATCTAGGGCAATTTTTCTATATTAACATGTTCATTCATTTTAATGGCTGCATACAGTCCCATTGTATGGACTTACATAATTTATATAACTAATTCTCAGTGGATGGACACTGCTTGTCTCCAGTTTTTTGATATTAAGAAAATATGCTTCAGTGAACATTGTACAAAAGTCTTAATGAACATTTGAAAACATATCCAATTGATAGATTCTGACCAGTAGGAAAGGAGCCCTGGTGGCAGGGTGGTTAAGTGCCTGACTGCTAACCAAAAGGTCGGCAATTCAAACCCACCTGCTACTAATTGGGAAGAAAGATGGGGCAGTTCTGCTCTATCCTATAGGGTTGTTATGAATTGGAATAGACACAATGACAATGGGTTTAAAGCAGTAGGACTTCTGAGTTAAAGGGCATGTGCTTTTCTTAAATTTTCATACATCTTGCCAAATTATCCTCAAAAAAAGTACCTACCTCCAAAAGTGTACAAGAAAGTCTCTTTGTTTCTGCACATTTACATCAGCTGTGAACATCAGCATGGGGCCCTCATGGTACAGTGGTTAAATGCTCAGCTGCTAACTGAAAGGTCAGTGGTTCAAACCCACCAGCTGCTCCATGGGAGGAAGATGTGGCAGACTGCTTCTGTTTCCAAAATTATAGCCTTCTTTTGGAACAATTATTTCCAATTCACTGGGTAGGGAAAAAAGATTCATTTCTTTCATTTGTTTGAGTTTGATCATCTTTTAATATGTTTATTCACCATTTGTATTATTTCTTCTATAAAGTGCTTCTCGAGAACCCAAGGGCGAAAGACCTGGCAATCTGATCCCATAAAGATTCAAACCAAACTCATCAAGTTGATTCTGACTCATAGCAACCCCATTGGGTTTCCGCGTTGGTAAATCTTTACAGAAGTAGATTGCCCAGTCTTGCTCATAAAGATTTAAAAAAAAAAAAAAAACTGTCCTCAAGTCAATTCTGACTCTTAGCAACCCCTCCTTGGTTTGGTTTTTTAGACATTATCTCTACAGAAGTAGATTGCCCAATGTTCCTTCTGAGGAGTGGCTGGTGGGTTTGAACCACCAACTGTCTGGTTAGTTGTCAAGTGCCTTAGACACCATGCCACCAGGGCTCCCTCATAAAGATTATTGTTGTTGTAATGTGCCGTTGAGTTGGACCTGACTCATAGCGACCCTTCCTTGGGTTTCTGAGGGGGTATCACTATGGAAGTAGATTGCCCAGCCTTCCTTCGAGGAGTGGCTGGTGGGTTTGAACCACCAGCTTTCTGGTTAGTTGTCAAGTGCCTTAGGCACCATGACACCAAAGCTCCCTCATAAAGATTGCTGTTGTTGTCATGTGCTGTTGAGTCGGCCCTGACTCATAGTGACCCCTTCTTAGGTTTCTGAGGGGGTATCACTACGGAAGTAGATTGCCCAGCTTTCTATACCCATTTTTCTATTGGCAGCTGATTTGTCTAAGTTTGTATTAAATTAAAGATACTCACCCATTGTCATATTTGCTACATTTGGCAGTTGCCATTGGTCTTTCTCCTCCCTAATTTTTCATGCAAAAGATTTTCATTTTAGGACATCAATCATTTTAGGACATCAATAATTAAATATATATATATATATATATTTTTTTTTTTTTATTCTTATTTTGTTATCTTAGAAAAACTTATCCTACTTCTACCACCCTAAGGTTATAAAAAAAAATTAGCTGAAATTTTTTCTAAGATATTTTTGTTTGCTTGCTTTCTTTTTCACATGTAAATATGTGACTATCAGGAATATATTTTGGGATAAGAAATGAAGTAGATACTCAGCTTTATTTTTTTCCCCAGTTAGCCAATGGTATGAATATCATTTAATGAATAATTCCTCTTTTTTTTTCACTAACTTGAAATGCCTTTACCATAAACTCAGCTTCTATACATACTTGTATCTATTTCTGGATATTTTATTATGTTTTATTAACCTATTTATTCTCCTGTATCTGTCTTAGTCATTGTAGTTTCGTAATATGTGTTAATATTGGGTAATAATGGCCACCCTCTTTCCAATTATTTTTTCTAAAAATTTCCCTTCATGTTCATTTTTCCACATTAATGTTAGTACCATGTGGGGCTAAATTTTAATTCAGTCAGCACATGACATGGAGAATGACCAGTATATCTGGGTAGACTGTGCATTTCTTTAGTGGTGTCATAATAAATAAATATACTGTAGGAATGCATGGGTGGAGGGGATTAAAATTGTCTAGGAGCTCTGGTAGCATAGTGGCTAAGGCATTTGACTGCTAACCAGAAGGCTGGCGGTTCAAACCCACCAGCCACTCCTCAGAAGGAAGGTTGG